TCTGTGCTGAACCATAAAGTCACAGTGTGTCTTTTCAAGAAGCAAAGTCTTCATGTGTCAAGTCGTAATGCTCAAAGAGAACAAAACAAGTACTGCAGAGCTAAATACTCCACTGTACTAAAAGAAACAAACAAGGTGTCAGAAGCTTGATGACTACCTCTTACAGCATGTCTTTCAGCCTGGTACTTGCCCTCATGTGTGCTCCTATACCAGTAACAGTGGAATAGCTTCTGCTCCATTTGCAGGAGAAGCTATGCATCACAGAAGAAAGCTGCAGAACGCTTGGGTAATCTTTTTCATCTGCTCATGCCTTCAGTACCTGACATGCCTTTTCCAAAGCTGTGCAGCACCTACCACCACTGAAGCATCAGGATGCTGTGGTAGCCATAGTCTCTCCCTCCTGTATCACTTGAAAAGGATTTTATGTGGGTAAGACTGAGGCATTTACTACAAACATTCTAGGGTTTCGCCTGCTGTGGTGTGGGTCTCCCCACTTCCCACTCTAGTCATTTCAAATTCCCTCTGATCTGTGTGGTCTGACCCAGATCTCCAAACCACAGAACAAATTTTGGGATAGCACAAGCTCCGGCTGCTCTGTGTGTCTCCAGAATCTCTTCTTTGTGCGATTTTATGATTTGATTCAGTGTCGTGCTCAACCCTCACTGGTTGTACTTCTCATCAGTGTATGTAACCACATTTCCTGCTTCCCATTTCACTGTTCTCTCTCAGAGCAATCATCTCTTTTTATGAATGCTGATTAAGTCTAGCCTCAGAATGGTCTGGAAAAGACTGCAGAGCAGAGGTGCCTTTGAATGAGTGACTCTGGGTGCCCAAGAGGAGCAAGCTTTCTAAAAGTCTGAAAGCTTTTTCCTTGGCTTCCAGAGGGCAGATGCCTACCATGTTCCCAAAAAGCTTCAGATTGCACCAGACTTTGAAGCACTCAGAATCACTTATGACTTCCTTAAACTCTAGCATACATACCTGCTGAAGGCCCCTAGCTATAATACATGCCACAGGATATGTTACACTCTGCATGCATACATCTTCCAAAACTTTTGAAAGGATTGTGAGAGATGGTCTTGCCCAGCACGTCTCTAAGTTTCTCACCCGTGCCTCTGCTCAGGCCCATTGGGATTTTTTGTGCCCCACAGGCAAAGGCAGCTCTGGCAGGGTTGGTGGTGTCTGTCAGAGCAACTTGATGGTTTACCAGAGATCTGAACCCTTCTCTGCCCAAAAGCAGGATTGACTTGTACGTAAGCTGTTCACAACGGACGTTTGTCTAAACTCTTTTTCAAAAACAAACAAAAAATGATGGAGATGTAACAGCTTCCCCAGCCACTCTGTCTACTGCTTAATCATCCTCACTATTAGAAATGTTTTCTTGTTTATCATAAATTTCTTTTGTGACTATCAAAGCCCAGTATTTCCCATCCTATCACCAGAATCATTCCCCCATGTTTGCAGATAATGTCCATGTATTTGGAGACTGTTATTGTCTCCCTTCAGTCTCGTCTTTTCTAGACTAAACAAGCCCATTTCCTTCAGTCTTACCTTATATGTCATGTTTTCTAGTTCTCTAAGTGATTTTGCTGCTTTGAAGAGCTGGATTTGGGGCATAGATTTTTTTTTTTTTTTTGTGTTCCCCTAGAAAGAATAATATGTGCTTAAAACTGAACAGATTATTCCAGCTGAGGCTATAGCAGACTAAATAGACAAAAGTTATGTCAAAAAGCTTACAAATGGTGCCCTTAGTGCTATACCCCAGCACAATGCTTGCAATTTCTACATTCTTGGTTTCTCGCTCCACAGTTACCCCTGAATCCTCTTCTGCTTTCTGGTGCTCTGTCCTGATGTTTTATATCAGTCCCATCTTCATATATAAACAAGTTGTTATTTGACTGACAAATGGAGAATATTGCATTAATGGCATTGCACATCCTCTTTTTCTGGCTGCTGCAGTTAAGCAAGATCCTTCCAAGTCTGCCCCTGATCCTCAGCTCGAATTCAAAGGTTGTGCAAATTGGTAGGGGGTGACTCTGCTCTCCCAGCACGAGGCGAAGTGGTTGCGGTACATCAACTTCTAAACCTCTTCTGCCGATCATCTGTTGTCTTGTTTCCATACGCTCCCCCATGCTGTTGCTTCTTGCCATGGGGGCTTGGCTCTCTGAAGCAAGAATGAGCCTTATGTTCTTTCTTTATACAGTGCCTAGCACGATGGAGTCTTGATCCATGATTAAGGATCCTAAATATAATGACAATAAAAATAATACCATCGATATAACTGAGAAGCTCCTGCTTATGGTAAAAGAGGAAAGGAATGGGATTTATAGGTGCATTAAACTTTCCTTTTGTAGCTCTAAAAAATGTAATTGAAAGCAGCTTTTAAAATTGAGCTGCAACTTCTTTAGGAAAATACTCATTTGCTGAGGAGAATGGTACATTCCTCTCTGTAAAAATGTCACATTTTCACCTAAGGCAAATTCATGGAAATTTACAAAGATTTACAACAAGAAGCAAAGTTTTAATTTTCATAAATATGCCCCAGGTGAAAATGTGACATTTTTACAGACAAGAATGCTCTAGTTTTGCTGAGAGAGGCAAAAAGGCTTTTCTGTTAAAAAAAATCACAATGGCAACTTTCCGTTTGTGAAAAATATCCATCCCTTTTACTGAAAAAAAAAGGAAGAAGAAGAAAAGGAAAATGGAGTTGAGCTTCTGGAGAGCTGTATTCTCTATTCCCTACCTTCTGATATGCATTTCTTACCAACTACTGTGCTCAAAGGCAGAGAGTGAAACTTAATCATGTGTTGAATTTATAAATGCACTTCAGAAAAATTGCTTATTTTTCTGGCGAGAACTGGTAGCTTTACCATCAATATGTCAACTTTGCTTGCACTATTGTTGTTGAACGGTTATCATGAACCACAACTGTAACCCTCATTCATCCCAAACTTTCAGTAAAACTGATACAAGATGCAACCACGAAACTATCAAATAATGTCATTTCCTAATTAAAGCAAAACCAAACAGAAACCTCTACTGCTTTCTGCTAGCATTTTTTTTTCCCTGTTTCTGTCATTGATTATCTGCCCTATCCCTGATACAGTACAGCCAGCTGAACCTTTATGTCCAAAGTTGTAAAAGGAGAAGGAGGGCCTCATGGGTCTGGATTGGATAGGGTTGACCAGGAAAATGGGGCGATAATGGTAATGTGTTAAAGAAGAGGCTGCCCCTGGGATGCTTTTCAACAGTACTCCTCTGACAGTCTGGGGTGAGCTAGTCTCTGGCCGTTAATTAAGGCATTAAGGTGTAAGGTGGACTTTCAAGGTTTTCACAGGGCTTAGCAAGTCCCTCCCACCTTTAAGAGGTAATGCTTGTAATCTTGCTCCACAGTAGAAAATTTGCATAGTCAGGTGAAGAGGAAAGATTTGCTCCCACAGCCCCTGGAATGGACCAAAAAGTCAGAAGCTACCAGTCCATGTGTCTGCTGAGAGACTTTTCCTGTGCACTAGACATGTCATGTCACTTTCCTGCTGAGGGGTCTCCAAAAAGCTTCTGTAACCCAGGGCTGCCCCAGCCTGCAAAAGGTAGGGCTAGTTAAAGGACATTAGCTTCAGTTCTTTGCTGCCTTCCCACTTTCTTGCCCATGCTGTGCCTTCAAAGAATGGGTTCTTAGGTGTTAAAATCTAGTAAAAGTTTAAAGTATTTGCATAAAAAAGGAAAAAAAGGGGTATGCATATATGATAACCTTTGTGTTATCACCCTGGTCTTGGCCTGGCAGCTGTGGAGGAGAAGGGTTAGCCTACCAAACTTCCTCAGAGTAGGTGGGTGTGCCTTGCTGATGGAGAAAGAAACCAGCGCGGATGGTGAGCAAGCCCTCTTTTCCTCTGGGAGGGATGCAAAGGCTGCAGTCTGAGGGAGGAAACCACTGCAGAGGTGAGGCAAAAGAGAAGGACCCAATTTGCAGAGGTGCTACTGCTATAGAGGAACAGAAGTGGAGAAACCAGGAGAAATCTCTGAAAGGGGAGTTACGGAAAAAGAATAAGAAATAGCAGTACTGGGTAGCTTGTTCAGTACAAGAGCAAACAGGTCAGTGTACTTACTAACAACCCTCTGCTATCTTGATCAAGGGTGGGAAACACTTCTATCTCAGCCACATAGCCAGAGCTCACTACTCCTGGAGGACCCTGGGCTATCCTGGGCACTGAGCAATTTGGGGACCACCGGATGCAAACCTCCTTAACAGGCTGCTGTGCAAGCATTGTGTAACACAGAGTCAGAGCAGAAAGAAAAACTGCAAGGGGACATTTCTGCAGGCTTTAGCTGGCACTTGACCTTTTTGTACTGTAGCTGGAGCTTTAGAAAACCAGAAGGGGGTTATTTGCTGTCTGAAGTGCAGCCGCTTTACTGTGAAGCTTCTGCTTGCTGTGTGTGCCTGTGAGTTTAGCAGCAGTCCCTGTGTGTCTAAGCTCTTGTTATTGCCCACTCAGTTGTAAGGAAATGAGAAGCTGATGCTGATGCCAAAACCGGGTCACTGAACTATAAAAAGAAAAAAAAAAACCCAGCCAGCAATCTATATACCCTAGAAAAATGGCACCCTATGTTCCTAAGCTGGCAAAGCCCTGACAGCTTCATTAAATTGATATTTGAATTGGCAAGGAAGTTCACTCTCATTCAGTACAAACACATAAAATGTATCAGTATAGAAATACTCTATATAGTGAAGTTGTCTCCTCACCCTATGAATTATAAATACAATAATTACCAGTACTCTTAACTCTGTGGTATGTATCTGCTAAGTTTTATCACCATAGCCTGCCAGGGAACAGGACTGCCATTAACCACTCCTTTCTGGTGAAACTCATCTCTGGTGCCACATGTGTGAGCACACACAGTTTCCAGTAGCCTGTGTCTTGCCACGGGGCAGGTACAACCGTGGCTGTAAGGGTTGTGGCACAAGGTTGCAAAGCCAGTGGAGCTCCCTCTATGAAAATGCTCACTGCTGCTTTGCAGGTGTTCATGGATCAAAGAAGAGAAGTTGAGGGCACTGAAAGTCTCGTGTTTCCATTTCATAGCTGTTGGTGATAGCTGGATGGCCGTAAAAGGTGGGAGCCAGCAATTTCTCTCCCAGCTCAAATCACTGACCTCTGATACCCAAACGGAGACATGCGCTATATTAGTGCCAGCTCAGTGCTTTCTGTGAACATTTCCCACAATCACCGCTGTGGCAGGGCAAGAAGAAAAGCTCAGTTCAGAGCAGTTAAAAAGGTAACTAGACTTGTCTCACTGGTCATTTGCTTTTAAGCACAGATCCCAGGAGGGATTTTTGTGCCAACCTCCAAATCAAACTATGAGAAATTTATAGCATTTAGGCGTCAAAAGAAGAACTAGAAGAATTAGATCCTTTTGAGGTCTTAGCTGAGTTTCCAAGCCAGTGAATTATTGCATGTTCACTGCTGGCTTAAATAGAGCCAGTAGGTCTGGAAATCCATGAGAGTGAAACATTTACAGCCCATAGCCATGGTGTTCCCATAAGAAAAAAGGGAGCAGCAAGGCAAGTTTTCCGTATTTTCAGCACTGTGTTGCCTTGCTGAGCCTGGAGAAAGAGCTGATAAAGAACACAAGCTTCCTCTGCACTGTGATAGCCCCTGCTCCTCCCCAGGACGTGAGGAGGTGCACCACCAGCCTGTTACAGACCCTGATTTCCCTAGCGTAGATGGATGGGGCCATGGAGAAAAAGGTATTATTATTTTACTTAAGTAGCTTCAACTACCCAGTACCAAATGCCCTAGGAGTCTTTACAATTAATCATACAACACAAGAATAGTGACCACCCAGCAGTATTGCAGATATATCTGTTAGGCAGTGTGCATGCTCAGCCTGCCAACAGCGGTAAATAAATGTTAGTAAGTGAACTTTGGCAGTAAATCAAAGCTACAAAAAAACCCCCACCAACAAACCCTAACCCAAACCCCCCAAACCATCCACCCTTTTCTGCCTTGCTTCTGAAATATGTCACCAACCTCCCCCCAAAACTAGCTGAAACAGATGACTTCTGCAGTGTGTCTCTGGAATGTTACCCGGTCAGTTATTTTGGAGCGAGGAGGGATTTAGTGAAAGTCGCCTGTCATCTGGCAGAAACCATGGGAGCATTTCCCAGGAGCCACACCAGCCCAATAGGAGACCTTTCCTTGAAGTCCCTGTGAGGCTCCCCAGCCCCATAGAGACCAGCTCAGGGCTTTTCCTGGGCCTCCCAGTAGCTTCCTTTTCCCTTTCTGCGCAGGAAAAAAACACTTGGCATTGGCCTTGGCTTCAGCTGTGAGCTGGGCTGGAAATCTGGGTGGGATTTGCTGTTATCACAGTGTTGTATTTGGCAAGGCAATATTCCCTGCAAGGATTGATGGCTTTCCCTATAGATTTGGCACCAGATACCTTCTCTCAACTGTCATCATCATATTCATCCTCTTAGAGTAGACGGGCTTGGGTCCAGCAGTAAATATATGAAGTAAAATATGAGATATACTGAACATTTTGTATTATCACAATTATTTAAAAATAATTTATTTACCTGGAAAGGCTCAGCTGATGCTCAGCATCTGGTTTTCGGTCAGCTCCTGCTTCATCTTTTTTTCTTTAACCCAGTTTTCCAGCTGAGTAGACAGAGGAACAAACCAAGACCAAACAATTTGCCAAAGGTCACACAGAGAATCACTGGCTCATGCAGGATTTATAGGGAGACTTGCCCTGGCTTCAGTCAGCAATTCATGTTGTCTCTGTTTGGGTTTGCTCTGACACTAGGGGTTCCTCATTCAGCCTTGCCAGTTCATAAGACTTTCTCACGAGTCTATTAATATTTGCTGTGTCTTAGAAAGATGACTAATTGTTCAATAATTTCAGACTTGACTTGTATGAATTAAGCTTCTAGTTGTGTTGACAGCAGAGTAAAAAATAGAACAAAAAGTAGAAACAGAAAATAGAACAAAAGAAGGCTGGTGTGTCTTCTCCAGGCTCAGAAACTGGAATACAAGTTTCTATTCTTTTAATACCTCATCATTTCCTAGCCAGACTCCTGAGCTTTGGAAACCAGCCTTGTATTTTGTGACTGCTCGGATATCTCTTGCTGTTGAATTCCTGATAGTTCTGAATTTTTCTGTATCTTGTATCCCCAGTGTTGTGAACCTTCTGCCTGACTTAAGTCAAGTCAGTAATTCAAGGATGTTGCTCTACTTTTCTTTTTCAATTTTGTATTGAACTTTTCTTGATATATTAATAAAACAGGTGAAAAATTGTTTGGTTTCAGGTTTATAATATTTTATTTCTATTCAAAGAGTTCTATATTTCTCCTTCCTTCACAGATTTTGGAAAAGCCTCAATCCCAGACAAAGCTTTCATGATATTCAGGAATACTAAGACCTTGCTAATCTCTTGTCATCTATGAGATACACAGCTGCTCAGAACTTCTGAAACTGAGGTAGCGAACACAGTACATAGGACTTGACCTATTAATTATCCAGCAAGCCAGGCATCTTTGGCTATCAGTATGATGGGGATCCCCATGCATAGACTTAAGTTTTTGACAGAGGTAAGTGGATAGAGTTTATATGGATTCTTACCTGCAACAGCTATTTTTGGTTTTAATTGGGACTGCACTGAGTTAGGCATAGATTTTGGCTCGATGTCTACGCAAAATATACCAGCAGGCCTGAAACTGCCCATTTGCCCTATGAATGTTGCATAATAACCTTCCACCCCCCCTTCCTACATCTAAGCAGACCTTAACATCCCTGCAGTGTTAACTGCCTAGTACAGCGTGTAATTATATACAGAGAATTATCCCTACACTATGATTAGCCAAACGCATTCATATGCATGTGAATTACTCTTTGTGCTGACACAGTGAAAGGCTGGAGGCCTCTTTTTACTAGAGGGGATGGAGAGGAATGTGCTTGTGTGGTCTTCCAGGGTTATCCTGCTAATGGGAACTGTACTTCTTACATCTTTTCTTCCTGAAGCAGGGAGAGTACCTGGAGTGCTGAGTATGTGCCCTCTGAGCACCATCAGCTTTCAAATGTGTGGAGCTGCAGAGGTTGCATGTTATGTCACTGTTAAGAAGATGGTGATGATTTTTTTATATAATTTAAATACATTTTATTTTCTTTTTATGGCTACCAAACTCCCTGTGAGGGTCCTCAGGCCTTGTAATGGCACAAAACATTAATGATGCATAGGGGAGGGGCTGAGCTGACAACCAATTGTGCTCAGTGGGTGGCTCGTTAGCTGCAGCCCTGTGGATGTGGTGTGCTGGTCTCCATAATCTCCGTATGGCTATCTGCAGAGTCTGAAAAGAGAAATACGAATGTGTGAAGTCCTGAAACTCACCTGACAGACCCGCAAGGCTTTGCGTGTGACACTAGGGAAGGACTCGCTTCCATTACTCCACCCAGCTTCTGCTTCCTGCTCCTCTTTGTAGCATCTTTTACCACTGACCCAAAGTGAGGAAAGCAAATCTATCCACTTCCTGCTATACAGCTCTTAAGGAGAAGTTGGCAGGAAGAGCTGTTGCACTTCTTTGCCCAGGAGGTGACATGGGATGGTCCTGAGAGTCTACAGAACCCTGGAAAAACAAACTCCTTTCTTCCAAGGGTCCAAGGCTGTCCTCCAGGGCTGGTGGCTGCTGCTTGTATGCCTGCCTCCTTGTTTACATGGACCCCATGGGGCTACAAAGCTCCGGCTGAATTTCCTGCTAGCTAGAACATGCAAGAAAAGGGAGGAGACACAGGTCTGATCTGGGATCCTTCTTAAAGGGAGCTAAAGGCCATACAGCTTTTTTAGAGTACTATGGTCCTCTCACTCGCGTTTTAAGCCTCGAGGCTGGTCATTAGTGAGTGAAAAAGTAGTTACAAAATAAGCAAAATCCATACAGCTCAGTGCCATCATGAGTGTTGAAGTCTGTGGTGGCATCGCAGGGTTGTGTATGGTAGAAAAGATGCTACTGGGTGTGCATCTGCTGAGCTTTATATCTCCAGGTGGCTCTGTACAAACAAGCCAAAAGAACCGAACCTATCTTCAAGAAAGTGCTGAAAGTGTACAATAATTCTGAGCAAGTTGCACAACTAATTCATATTTCCCCCGTAAGAGGTTTTTTTTCCCTTGCTCTCTTCATTTACACAGTAGTGAGGCTAGGGGTTCACAGTTAAAGGTTATTAAAATATTAAGTATCATTTTCTGCTGTATTTAACTCCTTAGAATGAATGTGCGGGAGATGGCACGCCATATGAAATACAAATACGTGTATTGCGCAGCAAGCATCTTTTCTTAGAGATGGTGATCCCTGAATTATGAGCCTGGGGGTTATGTTTTGAGTTAATAGTGCTTTTTATTTTTAACTTTCTTTTTGGTCCACCCTTGCTAACTAGCAGACTAATCACTGGCCAGCTATTACAGGTGGGAGTGGAAAAGAGCAAGTTTGTATGCTTCAGGCATACCAAGCCCGACCTGTGCAACTTTGTTGGTTTGGAAAAAAAATCAGATGCAAGCAAAGGTGCTGAGCACACAAACACTGATCTGTAGCTATCGATGAAGGCTATAGTGTTGCAGGCATATGAGAGAGCTTTGCAGCCAAGCCAAATAAATGCTGCCAGAATGAAAGCTTTCCTTGTGTGCCAGCTCCCTTACAGCACTCTTGCGGAGTTCTGCCCAAGGAGGCTTATCATAACACAAACCACAGAGGACTGGGTTTACTGGGATTACTGGCCACCCGCATCAGTGATGCTGTCATGAGACCAGCTGTGCCAGTGCCCATAGCTGCACAGAAAGAGGGGGTGACTTGAGTTGCTTGTGGGAGCTAGAGGCAGGGGTGGCCTGCATGGATGGCAGCCCTGCCCACTCCAGCAATGCCTCCTTGCTGTGCAGTGGCACAACATGCCTGCCTTCCTGAACCATGTTTTACTGCAGGTAGTATGGGGAGACCATGACAGGCCAGGGTCCCTTGCACCCAGGGTAGGGGCATTGACATTGCCTCACTTTGCAGGTCTCAGCCACCCTCCCTGGCCATTTCTCCCTCACCTTCTGGACACTGGTTTTGACTGCAGCTCCTTAATCCTTTCTCCAAGGATAAATTATCCACAACTTAGTAGATGCAGTGTTAAAAGAACTTAGAAGTTATTGAGTGCCCTGGAAATACGGACAAATGAATTCAACATGAAAAGCAGCCGTTTAAATTATAAATATTAAATATTATATATAATATATAACATATAAAAATTATAATATAATATTATAATTAATAATAAATTATATAATATTATATATAAATTCAATATAATCTACATTATTTTTGTGAATAGTCTTATGTTAATTTATTTTCTTTTCAAAGGGGTGTGGTTGTTTACCTAGGACTTTCAAACATAAGTAATAAGAAAAGAAACAGATGATTTTGTAGTCAATCCAATGTTGTCCTTGTCTGGATTAGTTCTGTGCAAAGACTTCACAATGGCACTCAAAAATACCGTAAGAGTTAGTGTTTTGCTCTCATGGCAATTTTTGATGAGTCAGTATTTCAACAAGAACAAGCTAATCCCCTTCATTTTGTACATTAAATACTGAAGGGAAATAGGTGTCTCCAGCATTCGTTAGATCCAATGTACAAAGAGCATCTCCTATGATGACAGTGAAAGAACACATTTCTGCTCACGCTTTCACCATGAGCTCCCATGGACAGCAGTCTCACAGGCAAAAATACTCTGGAGAGCATCCAGCTTCCTGTGGGCTCCCTCTTGCATGGGGAGCTCAGCCTTGTCCTCCCTCTGGTCTTTGGAGAGGCTAAGATAGAAAAGCACCACTGACATAGTCTTCCTTCTCCATAACTACCCATCCCCTGGATGCCAGAGAGTCTTTTGGGATAGCTCTGGTTTTCCATAAGTTTGATACGATTTAAATAAGATCATGGTTTTCAATAATATTTTGGTTTGCAAATCCTGGGTAATGTAACCAGTGGAGATATAAACCCCTGTGTGGCCAACAGACATTTCTTTAGACACGAGTTTTTTCTTCTCAAGGCCTTTCCTGGATTGTAGAAGTCATGTAGAGATGAGAGCAGTGAAAATCTACTGGAGGTGCTTGTTGTAGTAATGGTAAACAACATGAGGTGGTGCTGTTCTGCGTTATCCTTCTCATTTATTTGGTTGGGGTCTAACTCAGCTAGCATGTGTTCAGACATGCTGTGCTACGTTCCGGGTGTTTTCATGAAGGCTTTTGTTCCAGGAAAGACAGTGGGGCTTGTTGCAGGAGTTTTGCTAGTTGCCTAAGTTTGCTTTCTTCGGTGGCCCATCAGAGACAGCTTTTAAGGTAAAGTGGCTCCCAGGGAACTATTGCAGACATGAGCCAAGATAAGGGGAGGAAGGAATTGCCTGCAAACCCTCTGAACACCAGTCTTCCAGGTCGGATGTTTCCATGCATGCAGAGAAACTCCACATTACTTCTGTGGAGATCACATCAAATCTTAATTGCATAGCATAGGAGCGATGCTGGCATGATAAGTTACAAGTGTCAGGGAAAAGGATAGTAATACTTGGAGGAAGATCAGTTGTGAATCAATGAGCATCTCAACAAACAGAAAAACAACGTCTGCCTGAGTACAGATACAGAGACTTTGCCTCCAGTCTGCTACTGGTCTTCACTGCAGTGCTGAGCTCTGACACCTCCAGCTGATTCCTATCCAGGAGCTTCAGTTTGCTGGAAAAGAGCAGCTCCCTAATGCCCAGGGTAGCAGTTCAAAGCTGATTGCCTGCCATCCAAATGTAAAACAGCCTCTCAGTTTCAGATACTGGGTTTTCTATTAGCCTCTGGGCATTTTATTCAAGCAAACAGGTTGTGTCACTGACCTCAGTTAAACCCACAGCGAGGTCTGACCCGAGTTTACATGTTAAGTGGAAGTGGTGGTATTCATTCATAAGATTTCAACTGCATCTTTCATTTCAGGAATAAGCATAGCCGCAACATCTACAACATCTTATAAAACAGTATCCTTGCCAACAACATTTCCACCTTATTGCCTTAGACAAATTGGGCAAATTCATGGACAGCAGTTATATACACAAATGCTAAAGGCAGGAGGCTGGCATGTATGCTCTGGCATCCTAAACACATGAGCTGGGGATGTTGGGAGTATGAAGGGAAAGGGGGCAGGCTTGTATGCTCTCCCTGACTGGTACTTCCAGCTGTTGTCACTGTTGGAGGCAACACTGGGATAGGTGAATGGCTGGTCTTGCCACACTGGTTTTTGCATATGCTCTTACTTCTTTCCTGCTGGGATGTTCAAGGTGCAGCTAATAGACACGATGCTGCTCTGTACAGCGATACTCAAGACAGCTACGGACTCCTTGCTCCTGTACCTGTGGCAGTATGCGCTCTGCTACTTGCATCATGCAACTTCTGGTACCAAGGCTGTTTTGCAGAGACAGCAAAGATGAAAGCAGCCATTCTACTCAACCCTGTCCAGCACTTCAGTGGCTTTGCTGCAGCTCTGTCCAGACAGAGCACCTACAGCCAAGGCTGCCTCTGGGCTATCAACTGTAGATCAGCACAGCCCAGAAAAGCAGTGCAGAAGACTCCATCTGCGCGCACTGAGTGGTGTGACAGTGGCTCCTGAAGGCCCATGGCTGTAGAATAGGTAGTTGGTTTTTTTTTCTGAGGCAAGTGTGTGAGCAATAAATGTGTCATGTGGCCAAATGCCTAAAAGAGTTTTCCTGTACTTAAAAGCAGGATAAAACCTCAGAAGAGGGAAATTGCCTGTCTAGGAAAATACAAGGAGTTTTTCACTGATAGTCTTGTGTTTCACATCACTACCATGTCTAATATCACCCTACCAGTGACAAGTGTTCTTCCTAAGACATTATTTTGTGAAAATTTTTCTGTGCTATGACTCCATCTTCAGCAGCCCATGACTTACCTCTCCAACTAATCTGCCCTCTGATTTCTGGCATTGCTTGCAAAACCAATGAAATATCTAATCATCCAAGGAAGACTCAGCTGCAGATAGTCAGGCCCATCCTGTTTAGCAGCAAGCTGACACTGAGAAATGTGAGTGCTTTCATGGTCCTGCACCCTGTGGGATCTGCTTCTCCCTGGAGACTTTGACCCTTGGCTGAAGAGCTGCTTCCTCTTGCTATTCAATTGTGCAAGCAGGCAAAAGAAGCTCTTGCCCACCTACGTAGAAGTTTCCCTATGTGAACCCAGATTAAAGAAAACCCTCACTTTCCAATCCTTTCTGACATAACCCAATACAGAGTGTGACCAAAGTTGGCAGGTTTCCCACTCCTGCAATTCAGTGATCATTCAAGAATTAATTAGGCAATAAACTAGAGGAGATTCAGCTCATTTGATCTAACAGTTTTGCCAAGGAATGGTGGCTATGGCTCCATCTGATATACATACCTCGTAACTCAAGTACAGATTCCATATAGTCTCCAAAAATACATTAAAACCAGCTGTGAAATACAGTGCTGCCATAAACTAAATTAAAGAGAAAACTCTTTTGAAACCTTAGCCTAGAAAAGCATTAAGAGATCATCAGGTCTGCTTTAAATAAGACCATTTATGTGAACTGTCAGAAGTATAAGCTATATATAATCAGAAGCATAAGCTGTACATAATCAGAAGTCAAGAAGCTATGACAGTCAGAGGGATTTCTAAGCTGTCCATGTCTTGATGGGAGCAAACGCAGAAATACCAACTGTCCAACAGCAGAATGAGCTTTAAGATGGTTAGGAGAACAAATTTAAAAGTTCATTCAACTTGTTGGAGCAATTCCCTGATCCCACTGTAGTAATTCCTTGCAAGCACAATACTCTTGCAACACAGGGCGTTCACAGATTGTCTTTTCCAGAATAAGGCAGTCTCTCAGTAGTGAAAATTGTTACTGCTCTATTAATCACAACAGCTAAAATACTGTCTTTTCAACACTATCCAGT